AGACTTTGTTTAAATCATGCTGATTAAAAATATATGGAAGATATTTGAACGGGAACGGTACTTGGTTTCTGGCCGTGGTCGCGTATGGTTTCAACATCACTGGTTACTTACTCATAAATAGGGATATCATCAGCCATAGCTTTGACTACATGGTAGTTTTGCATCGCTAATTCAAAATAATCTTGGAATCTCAGACCCTGGCGAGTGAACAAACGGAAGGCTTAACTAACGATAACATCTAAATGGAGTTTTAAATATTGTAAAATAGCTGGATTGTTCATCGAGCTCCACGTGCCAAATTCATTTTTTTACATTTCATAAAGTGAAAATGCGAGCCTTTGCTTATTCAGGCATGACTTCTTCGATCACAGGAAGGGGGTAATGTCTTTGATCGAGAGCCTTAAACAAAGGTTTCTGGTCTCAGTCTCATCTAGTTCTAGGTGTACAGGATCCTTAAAGCACCCATTTTCCGTAAAAATCTTTCCAAATTCCTTTGCAATTATGACCATGTCAAGCTTGCTGGGTTTCTCGATAGCCACGATGTTGTCTCACTGGACTGAAATCATGTTCCTTTACTGACTCGTGTTGGATTCAAGAGAAAACTGTAAATCACTCCTCGCAAAAACAAAGTTTTCCATGTAAGTTTCTCAATTTGCGAACTAGTAAGAATTATCTAATTGTCTTCATTTACTGACCATTATGAACTTTCAATGTGTGGCGTTTTATATCTTAACATTTTTGAGCATAAGGTCATTTTGCAATTATATCACAAGTAGCCCAACAGTTAATATGAAATTTCACAGGTTTCGGCAAAGAATTAATGTTCATTTTTGCATTAAGTTTCTCGGGTGTTCCATGGAATAATCTTTTCCATTGTCAAAATTTCCTCATCATAATCAAATCTCTCATAATCATACAACAAGTTCACCCTCTTATCGCGTCCACGACACACCTGCCTTGAAATGGTTTTGCTTTTCACACCTTTCACAGGTTTACCCAGTGCAGGACAAGACTGCTTAACACTGGAATGATATTAACCTCAGTACCAAATGCAAGTCTTTGCATAGGTTGTTAAGGGAGGGGGGGGGGGTTCCTCTAACTTTTGATCCTTCTGCGTCAGACTGTTTCTCGGTTTAGTTGATTTTTTTTTAATTTGGTGGATTACATCTTGTGAATTCATCATCTTCACTTCTGCTGCTTTTATTCTGCAGCTCGACGAACATCATTTTTAAAGTGACTAGCCAGATTCTTGTAAATGAGAGTTATTTTTAGCATTTTGTTGTTTTTGAATCCAAATATGATTCTGTCACGTATCATTTTGTGTGCTAGCTTCCAAACTCAGAACTTAGAGAAATCTTCCTCAGCTTGGTAACATTCGCATTGATGGATTCTTCAGTTTCTTCATTTTTTGTTGAAAAAAACAACAACATAGCTTTCATATATGGTATTTGGTTTTGCCAACACAATGCTTTTTATGAGCTTTTTATTATGGTTATTTGGTCATTTCATCTATTTCCATCTTAGAATGAAAGCTCATTGTAAATTTACAGGTTTTAGGGGCCAATACAAGTAATAAAGGTTGCAACTCCGTAAAATATCATACTGTTCCAGTTGTAGTACATGTAACTTCTCTGATCCACTTAGATATGATGTCATAATAGCATATAACGTTTAGTCACTGACAAACTTGAGTTTACATGATGGGGAAAGTGCCATAATGTTTACATTCCTATTATGTGTTAATTCAGGTGTCAGGATTATTGATTTTAGCCTCAGTGTGCTGTTATGATGGTGTACGTTTGCAATATTATATCGTTATTCCTTTCTCTTGTTTGATATGCAAGTATTCAAACTATAGCAAAAATGAATGTGAAATTCTCCCCGTTACACGCCCAGAGACAGAATTAGATTTCATAAATACAATGTTGATATTAGACTGGTACTAATAATAAACAAGGATAAATTGGGGATGTTCTCAATTTATTTAAAAAGAAGTATGTCCTCTTGCTGAATTTTGCTTGGGCATTGTATGTTACGTATCCTATTAATTCTGTGCGAAATGCGACGAAGACCTAATAATGTCCCCTTTTATGTGGATAATTAAATGTCTCGTGAAATGATTCCTTAAAAAGTAAAATCCAGACCTTCCAAAGTACTTTATAGATACAAAAGAATTAGGATTAATTGACTTCTGTTACAAGCCGTTCACAATAAATTTTCTCTTGTGCCGATTAATTGACTTCTGTTACAAGCCGTTCACAATAAATTTTCTCTTGTGCCGATGCGATTTTTGTGTAACATTTAGTTATAAGTGTCCGTCACGTGATCAATAAGGTCACTTGACATCACAAAATGCTTTATTATAATACCTGATTAGGCTCTCTTCACGAGTTGACTGTACATATGTATTCATAGATTACAAATTGAAATGAAAACCTAGCTCGAAATAAAATATTTTATTATATGATCAAATAATTCCTATCTCTCTGATTGGCTGAGATCCAACAATGTAGAAAAAATACTACATTTTTATTTATATTTTTATATTTACCTGCACGTGAACTTCATGGTGATTATAAGGATTTATTTCCTCTAAATTGGTCTTAGATTAGATCGGAAAATTCCAAACTGATTCAAATAATTTTTGGAAGCTTTTTCACTTGCTACCGACTTCCACTCAGGTGAACATTACATTAGAGAATATATAATTTCCCCACTAATGGACCTTATAATCCCCACCCTTGATACCACCCCAACCCCAAAACAAATCTTGTTCAAAAAAGTTAAAAGAATTTTATTTTCTTGGGGGGCTAATCAAAGATTTTTTTAAGGTGTCATTTTTCCTTGATAATGTTCCCTTTCAAAATCTATCCCATAAAAGAGCCTGATATTATTTCTTTTTTAATAGCAACTAAAGCAGATTTTAAAAATTCCAAATTATAATACGACCGCAGTAATGTTTATTTAACCCTGTTTCTCTCATTGCATTTTTCTAGGACTTCAGCAAATGTAAGCAAGTAAATTGGGATGAACTGCTTAATGAGTTCGTATCATTTAATCATTGAATATCATAATAAAACAATTATTGCTGTTTTCAGTCAATACGATGATTTAGCCACCTTCTTTCGGGCGAGATGAATATTGTACTTCGAAGGTGGCTTAATCATCGTAATGACTGAAAAAACAGCAGTAAGTGTATTACACTAGCATTTCTATTGCATATTTAGCCCTCGGACAACCTTAACATAGTTGCGTATGCCGTAGCCTTATCAGATAGTACAGTCGCTTAATAAATTATATATAATTCTGTCTTTTTTAATATTGCGCTATGTGTCCGGTCAAATACAATTTTTGCCGGAGCGATATGTAGCTTTGCTTGATCGATGCAGGTTCTGCTGCTTGACCCTTCATTCGTTAAAGGATCTTCTATTTACTTTATTTACTGAATTCTACACTCATGTACAATTTCAACAATCAAGCAGGACGTATTAGCAGAGGTAATTCCGTCGAAATCGTTGCATTATCATAAAAATCCCAAAACGATTTCTTAGAATAAACATCAAATCACTTATTCATTAAAACAAATTTTAAATACTAATTTGCTTTCGAAACCATGCATTTATCATTATCATAGAAATTCTATATCAGGAGATTGAAATGTTTATGTAAAACACCATGGTATGAGAGGTTTACATTTGTCGACAAGCGTTTAAAAGTATATGAATTCTGTTTATATTTTACCGATCGAGCTTGCTTCTGTACATCAAGGATCTACATCCAACTATGATTTACGTATTGCAATATTGTTACAGAAGAGCCATGGCATAAGTTCTTATACATACCTTGGTCCTTGTAGCTGTAGTGCGAGTGCCAAGAAAACGTAATGCTAACAATGTTGTAGTATAGACGTAGGGGGGGGGGGGTTCACATTTTTCAAAATGAAAGGAGAGTAGTCTTACCGTGAGTAATGCAAAGTCAGTCGTGCTTTAAAAAATTGACAGTTATGTCACGTTGTCTCCAGAACGTTTCTCTTTTTTTTTTTTTCTGCGAAATGGATTTTTTCTTCTAAATTGCTATCACTTTTACTTGCTAGAAGGAAATCAAAATTAATTGTATGCAAAGTTTTTTTTTTTATATACTTGCAGTGCCACTAGGCACAACTGCTTTTTGAATTAAATCAGTAAATAAATAAAATAAAATAAAATAAAATAAAATAAATAAATAAATAAATAAATAAATAAATAAATAAATAAATAAATAAATAAATAAATAAATGCATCTTCTAAATGAAATATATTTTTCGAATTTATCAGGCCAAAAAGAAACTAGCTATAAGCATACAAGAGATATCCCTTGTAGGCTTCCATATACATGATTTTTCCTTTTTGAAATAATTCCAAATCGTGGTAGACTTTAGAAAACCGCAGACATGTTAAACCTGTTGAATACAATGTCGGTACTTAAATAAGGTTAATGGTTTAGTTTAGTATGGAAAGCCGTAGGGTACCCCCACATTATTATTATTTTTTCCTATATAATTATACCAAAAATAATTATCTCATCCCAAAATAAAAATCTTGCTTTTTTTTTTTTTTTTTTTTTTTTTTTTTTTTTTTTTTTTTAATAACATTATTATTTTCCTACAACAATTATAATCTTGTCCGTCCATGTGTACTCATTATTTTTATTTAGCCCCTACATTATAATAATTATTCTCACTTTACAATTATAATCTTTTCAGTTAGTACGGAGACATTATTTTTATACACCTCCAAATTATAATCTTGTCAGTCGATTCGTACACATAATTTTTATTTTGCACCAAGATTATAATTATTCTTGCTTCAACAATTTATAAGACTTCACCTCCTGTAACAATAATGTACTGACTGAAAATAAATAAAAATGTACACGCTTAAAAATTATAATGTACCAAGTCGACGTTATAATCTTTGCAACAATAATAATGATGTGCGCCCTTGTTCGCAATTATTTTTATTTTTCAACAGGAAAGATAACTTCTTTTCTAGTGACAGGAACGAAAACTCTGTCCTCCTGTTGAAACAATAATTATGTTGAGACGCGATTATAATTGTGACTGCACACATTATTTGAAGCGTGAAGGAAATATTATCTTGAGCGTGGAGAAATATTATTTGAAGCGTGGAGAAATATTATTTGAAGCGTGACGGAAAACAAGCGTCGATGCGAGGGAGATCGTCACGTGAAAAGGCCATGTGCGCTGTTCGATCATGTAAACAAAGTGGAAGACAGAAAGTCCAACGTTAGCTAGGCTATAAGAGGTAAGTAAAGACTAATCATTAATGTACATGTAAATGACTGGCATCATTCAGATAATGTCTCTTGAATCAGCTGTCAGTTTATTGTAATTAAGCTAGAGCTACCGAACAAACAGGTAGTTCGAATTGCCTCAGACAGCTGTCAGAAATAGATCATGTGCATAAATGTGAGATTAAGCACATACTAGTACTTTATTAAAACCACCTGCCTGATTAAGAGCATATAGGGACGATCATTTGATTGGGGGGGGGGGGGGACTGATAGATTAAGGAAATATATATTTTAACCTTGATTTTTAAGTAAATTAACTTCATCCACTGGCATTGCTAGAAATTAGAAATAAAGGAAAACAATGACCCTGTCAGACCATGACTGTCACTGTGATATCCCCCCCCCCCCACACACACACACCTTCTTGCATGTGGTTAAGTGGTTTTCTGATTTTGGACAAGAAAAGAAAGTAAATAATCATTCTTAGATCAACTGGAAATAAATATTCTGTCCTGTGAATGCTAAAAATAAATAAATAATCTGACTTGACAAAATTTGCCACCTCTACCCCCACCCCTTTATAAAAAGGTAGTGACCTTAACATGGTGAAAAATGTTTTTCCTAACCAAAATTATTTCTCATCTACCATGTCTACTCCTTTGTACATGCCATAATCATACTCGTACATGTATCCATTGATATTTTTTTAGATTTTGCATACAGTTTGTTTTTCTGCCACAGATTCAAAGAGAATTCAGATAGGAAATGGAACTATTGAACAATAAATTCTGCCTGGAAGCAGGAATTGCGGAATACAGTGCAATGGATCCCCGATATTCTATTTCAAAAGTTATTGGTAAGGTGACTACACATATGTAAGTCCTTGATAAATATCATTAAAAAATACATGTATAGCCTTTGTTAAAAATAGACAACTTTAGCATATTTCAAAATAGTATTTCTCTTTGTGGGGTCAATCTGGGATCAGCTGGCATGAGGGACTGTTCTCCCTTTAAGCCAATAAAAAAAATATAATGTGTTTGTTTCTGGTAACATGCCAAAAATGTTAGGGAAGGTAGGTAGGCGATAACTTTTTTTTATTACTTTACTTTTTATTAGCTCACCTGAGCCAAAGGCTGAAGTGAGTTTTTCTGATCACATTTTGTTTGGTGTCCATATCTCTTTAAATTTTTCACATTTTTGACTTCTTCTCAAGAACTGCTTGACCTTTTTCGACAAACTTAACAACAATCCTGAGGTAAAGGGGGTTAAAGTTTGTTCAAATAAAAGCCACACTTCCTTCCAACTGGAGATAATTACAAATTAATTTAGTGAAAAATTAATATCATCTTTTAAAAATCTTCTTCTCAAAAATCTGTGGTCCAGGAAAGATGAAACTTTTGTGGAAAAATCCTCAGGTAGTGTAGATTCAAGTTTGTTTTAATCATGACCCCCAGGGGTAGGGTGGGGCTATAATGGATTATCAAAGTTTTACATAGGAATACAGAGAGAAAATTTTAAAAAACTTCTCAAAAACAGCAAAGCCATGATTAGTCATATTTATATAGATGATAAAACTTATGACAAAATAATCTTTAAAAATCTTCTTAAGCCATGATGAGTCAAATAAATATGGAAGCATACTCATTTAGTGTAGATTCAAGTATGTTCAAATCATGCCCCCCATAGGTTGTGACCACTCATATATTTAAAACTTTTCAATACTGAACTGATTTCCAATTTTTCCTAGCCAAAGTGCTCGGGTGAGTGATGTGGGCCATGGGCCTCTTGTTTAAAGAATAATTTGCACATTTTATTTTAGGAGCTATACAAAGAATCTTGATTTATAGAAGTATACAGGTTTAAAAAAAAAAAGAAAACAGTGTTGTAAAGAAAGAAAAGGATTTTACATTCAAAGAATTATGGATGGCACAGAGGTAAAAAGGACATTCAGTGTTCAAAAGAATTAGAAATTGATTTATTTATCACAGTGGCAGATTTAGCCAGGAAAGGGGGGGGGGGGGCATTAAGAAAATCTAAAGAGTAATTGCACATTTTTACATTAATCAGAATTTTTGAAAATTATGTACATCCTAGAATTGATATATTCTGCAGTACAATTTAAAAAAAAACATGCTGCAGAATATATAAATTTTAGGATGTGGATAATATAGTAGGTGCTATATTTATATTTACATTCTTAATATATTGAAAACAGACATCTACTTTATAATTATTATTAAATACTGTACATTTAAGCTCACTGAGCCCAAGGTTAAAGTGAACATTTCTGATTAAAGAGTGTCTGGCATCTGTCTATCATTCATAAATGTTGAGTCATCTGTAAACTTTTCACATTTTCAACTTTTTTTCCAGAATTCAACCAAATTTGTCACTAGACAATATTTGGTGGAAAGGATTTAATTTTTTTCAAATGAAGAGGCAAGGGGAGGTCATAAAGAGAAAATTAATGTTTGACGGTGTCATTTGAAAATCTTCTTAAGAACCACTAGGCAGAAAAATTAAAACTTATGTGAAAACTTCCTGGCATAGCGTAGTTTCATTTTCAGTCAAATAAGACCCCTTTGAGCACTCTACCATCGGCTCATACATTCACCTCTGTCATCTGCTCGCATATATCACAGTGATAAACATGAAAAATAGTGTGTTTGTTTAAATTCATTTTAATTAAATGCCTGCACTAATTTTGTTCCTAAAGGTAGCTACTTTCCAAGTAGATCTAGAACTATTAATTTAATTTAAAATAATTCTGGGAATGTTATGTTTTTCACATTATAATGTCAAAATCTTGATGCGAGCCCATTGCAGAGGTGTCTGAGAGAGGAACGAATGACAACTCTGCATAGGAGATTGCCCTTTGAGAGGATGGAGCCACAGTATGGGATTAAAAATTTGCATGGGAATATACTACAAACTAGAAATTTGACCATAGGACATGAATACCCCTACTAGGGCTTATCATGCATCATGAAAATTTGCATTTTTGCATTTGTGTATGAAGTTTGATGATAATATCTTGAAAAAAAAAGGTCATTGGAAAGGTCCAGGTAAAAAGGTTGAACAAAGTTGATAAATTCTTAACAAATTTTGCATCAGTGCATAAGCTTACATAAAAGCATATGGAATTGTTTTGTTGAAACTGTGTTACATGCATATAGTTATTTAAGAAAAAAGTGATATCAAGGTCCAAGGAAAAGTCCTGGTCAAAATTTTATGTTGCAGTTCAATAACACTCTTCAAAATGTATCAGCATATGAAGTTTGAATAAAAAATCACAATTTTTTCTTTAAAATTTAGCTTAGCAATTAACACAAAATTGAGAGAAATTGAGAGAAGTCAAGATCAACAAAATTTATGCAACTGAATAGCTCTTATCAATATGTATAAGCATATGAAGATTGATCCAAATCTCTTGAATAGAGCTACTTACTAATCTAAGAAAAATGAGGTCAAGGTCAGGGGAAAGGTCAAATCAAAAATATGTTGATGAAGTTGAATGGGTCCCATCAATATGTATCAGCATATAAGATTTGATAAAAATATCTTAAATAGCTCTTGAAACTGAGCTTAACACTCTAATTTAAGAAAAGTAAGGTCAGGTTCAAAGGAAAGGTCAAGGTAAAAAAATGTTGAGTAGCTCTCATCAATATGTATCAGCATATAAAAGTTCAAAGTGTGATGGAAGGACACAAGAACATGTTATGGGGTTCAAGTAAATTTTTAATTACAAACCTTTAGGCTAAGGTGAGGCCACAATATTAGGTAATTTTTCATTGGAATAAAGGACTTTTTTTTTAAAAAAATTCTTCAGCCAGGAACAAGGTGACTAAGGTGAGCATTATTAGGTGTCTAAGGTGAGCATTATGGCCCATGGGCTTCTTGTTATGTGTCCTTTTCATTGATCAACAATCAGGTGATGTAATAGTATTGTTATATTTCAGAAATGCCTATGGATGACGTCATAACCAATTTTGAAAAATGTTTTGTTTGAAAGAAAAGGATCTGAAGAAGGAGACAGATCTATTTAAATTCGGATGGATTTATAGACTGCCAGACTTATTGCTATCACTTAATTCTGTACTACTAGATCTTTTACACTGAGCCTATAAGTTTTAGACTAGATGATTTATCTAATTTGAGAATCCATGACATCAATCTTTAAGCATTTCAAGATTACCAATACAGAATATGTACAGATGCAATAGCAGATGAAATCCCACATGTACATACACAAACAGGACACTGATATGTTACTGAAATTTAGAGATATTTCATTTCTCTCTTGTGCGGATTGAAATTGATCTAAGAAAAAAAAAAGGTTTATGTCAGACTGAAACAATATAATAAACAATTTTCTTTAATTTTGTTATGTGCTTATATTTTTAGGAAATATGTACCAATGTATCAGACAGTATATAGGGAACTTGTACTGAGTCGCTAGTGAGCTAGCTTTTCTAGTGATGCGGTAAAATCTCCCTCTATATTAGACAAGTTAAGCAATGTCGAGCCTGTTTAACCCTTGAATGGGTGACTGCTTCACATTACATTTATATGTAATTTTTTTTTTTTGAATACTAAATTTGAGTGTGAATTTCTTCTCATGGTCAAGCATGAGGTACTGCATAATTGTCATTTTTACATTAAAATGTGTGCATGTATTTATGGATTATCAGACACATATACACTATACAAAAAAATGCATAATTTTCCTAATTTTTACCTTTTTTCAGTTTTGACCCCATATTATAGCCATCATTTGGTTCCTGTACAGTGCGAACAAATCTGTATAATACATCAGTGTTGTTTATGCCCCCCTAATCAAAGATGATTCAGGGGTTTATAGTTTTTGCCCTGTCTATCTGTATGTATGTCCCCAAAACTTAACTTTTCCCATAACTTTTGTTTTGTTGGAGCTATGCATTTCATTTTTCACATGTGTATTCTTTGTGACAAAACCTTTCTTTGGGTACCAACATATTTGACCTTTGAGTTTGACCCATTTTTGTAAAATTTTACCAAACTTTTACCTTGGCAATAATTTCTGAACAGTTGGGGCTAGGGCTTCATATTTCTTATGACAAGACCTTCCCATGACCACCATTAATTTTGACCTTGAACTTGTTGTTCGACTTTTGAAAAACTTTAATCTTCACCATAACTTTTCAAAGGTAAGTGCTAGGGCTTTCGTATTTTACTTGCACATTTCTTGAGACAAGACCTGTCTTTGGATAATAACATTTGTGATCTCTTGACCTTGACCTTGGAGTTTGACATGAATTTGAAAAACTTCGACCTTCACCATAAGCTGCCATATACATACATAAAAATGCCATTATCGCATGTACATACATGTATGGCAGAGCTCAAAGAAGTCAATCCAGCTTTTCCAACATGCATTCCTTTATATGTTTGACATTCAGATCCAAGAAAATACCATAAAAAATCATCACAAATCATCCATTTTCATATAATTTTAACACATTCTTTGGTACTTTGGTAAATATAAATACAAATTTCATAAATGCAATCAATATAAATGCAGAAATTCAAGTTTGTTCACTCATGCAGATCCCACTTTATCAGCAGTAACCTGAGACACAGATGTGACACTTTAAATGGGGTATTTCATATACATGTACAAATTTATCAAAAATGCATCACTTCAAATTAGTGTCAAATGATGTCAAAAGGACAAATTTCATGTGCAAAATGTTCAGGAACAACACATATTCTTCCATCAAAAATTCTCTGAAATTTGCCAAGATTTCTTTCTTCAAAGTTATTCACATTGAATTTTTGTCCAGATCTGCACAATCTTCTATCACAAATTCCCTGAAATAAAAAGTTTGAAACACAGTTAGAGTTTTTATAATTACCATGCATAATCAAGGGAAACCTGAGATGGAGAATTTTTTTCCTGCCAATTTTTTTCATGATAACTAGTATGAAAAGGAAGCATCCTATTAGTGAAACCAATGGTCTTCATGCCAAAATGAATTGATTTATTGTTTACTTAAATTTTATTACTTTTTAGTTTTCTCCTCATTGAAAATAAATTTCTCCTTCATTTGTGCCAGGTTTAGTTAAAACTGGTCCAGTAGTTCTGTTGAGAAAGTCTGATACATGTATTAAGGTATTCAGTGTATACTGAATGGATTTTGAACTGTTTTGAATCATTTTAAACTAGTTAAAAATGTATTGCTAGATAATGATGAAAGGGAAATGAACCAAATTCACATGACTGATAACATGAAAGAAGCTGGTCATTTTGCACTTTAACATTTTTTGAAGAGTTATCTGCCCTTGATGAAAAACCCAAAAATTTAATTTTATCAAAATATCTGTGGCAAATGATTCATTTTATTTCATATTTTAATAAAGAGAGAGTTTATGCATATTTTCACCAAGAGCTCTACATGAAATTCAAATTACTTCTTACAATATCTTAATAAAACCTGCACTCCCCATAGACTTCATTGTAAAATTCAAGGTGCAATTTATTTGACAATTCCTTTGGTGGAGTATTTTTATTTAATAATACCAAGGGTTTTGAAAAGACACCAATTGAGGCAAAATTCTTGTATAATATTCAAAGAAAAATATACGAAAATTACTAAACATATATTCTAGATGTTTATCCAAACTTGTTTAAGAAGAAGTGTACAACAGAATATATAGACATTAAAGTGTAGCACACAGTTCCTTTAAGTATTGGAACTCTACAACTCCAAGGAAAACGACAATAAAGTTCAAACTACGTTGCGTATGTCCTTAAGGGATCAGAAAAGCTCTCTTGAACCATTGGATCAGATGAACTTCCAGGTCAAAACAGAAAAAGAGACCCAAGTTCAAGAAAATCAAGCCAGGCTGATGGATTTGAGAAATAATGCATCTATGATCTACATTTTATTTCATTTGTCACAAGTCCTTTTTTTGTGGTCAACGGAGTTTGGCTTTAAATTTTTTGTTCTATCTTTTATTCATGTACACAATATGATGAATAATATAAGGTAAACTGCCAAAAGACATTCTGTTATATGAGTGATGAATACAAAACCAATAACACTATTAATAATTATGCCCTGAACATTTTACATTAAATAGTACATAATTATATTAATCCTATGCTATGCATACAGTAAGCATAAATCTACAGGAGACCCACAAGGAATTTACAAAAATATTAAATGCTTAAGAAAATAAGCAAAAATAAAAAGGTCTTTGACCCCCTAGGAAAAACAGACCCTTGTAAAATGGTTAGGAGTGTCATGCATCTGAAGTGACTTGTCCTGGCTACACCCCCCCCCCCCCCCTTGCAATGCCAAGGGGCCCTGATTCAATACATTGCATGGGACCCCTGGTCAATTTCATTCATTAATATCATGGGCTGACTGTAGCATTATCTTTAGGGGAATTTTCAAATCCATTGTTTTTCTCATCTCTCAACCAATCACATTAAGCCATATTCTATGATAAACAACTTGTAACGGGAGATTCTTCCTGTTTACATTATCATATCTAAATATTTCTGAAAGCTTCAATTTGATTGGTGCTTCTCAATGAGAGAAGCAAGACTTAAAATATCACATGAAATTAGCCAGGACCCAGGACCCCTGGCATTGCAAGGATGTCCCCCATGATACTTTTAAAACATGTCTATCCAAGTGTTTTAATGAGTACAATTGTTTTGTTGTGTACATTTTATTCATATGTGTATTTAACTATTTATATATGACTATGACCCAAAAAAACAAAAAAACAAAAAAAAAAACAAAACAAAAAACAGCGGCATACTGAATATTTGACTGATGCTTACAAAATAAGAGCCCTAAGGGCCATATATCTCACCCGAGCACTGTGGCTAGGAGAAAAAAAGCAGAAATCAGTTCAGTATTGAAAAGTTTAAATACATATTGGTGGTCCCAACCTACCCCTAAAGTGGTGGGGCATGATTTGAAGAAACTGGAATTTACACTTACTGAGGAAACTTCCATATTTATTTGACTAATTGTGGCTTTCAAAGATTTTTTAAAGATTATTTTCCTATAAGTTTTAACTTTCATTGTGGCCGCAACCTTCCCCGAGGGATCTTGATTTAAACAAACTTGAATCTACACTATCTGAAGAAACTTCCATATAAATATGACTAATCATGGCTTTGCTGTTCTTGAGAAGATTTTTTTAAATTTTCCCTATATATTCCTATGTAAAACTTTGATAATCCATTATAGCCCCACCCTACCCCTGATTTAAATAAACTTGAATCTACACTACCTGAGGATTTTTCCACAAAAGTTTCATCTTTCCTGGCCCACAGATTTTTGAGAAGAAGATTTTTAAAAGATGATATTAATTTTTCACTAAATTAATTTGTAATTATCTCCAGTTGGAAGGAAGTGTGGCTTTTATTTGAACAAACTTGAACCCCCTTTACCCATGGACACTTTGTTGTTAAGTTTGGTTGAAATACATGTAGGTCAAGTGGTTCTTGAGAAGAAGTAAAAAATGTGAAAAGTTTACAGACAGATGGACACTAGACAAAATGTGATTAGAAAAGCTCACTTCAGCCTTTGGCTCAGGTGAGCTAATAAAAAGCAAAGTAAAAAAAAAAAAAGTTATCGCCTACCTACCTTCCCTAATATTTTTGGCATGTTACCAAAAACAAACACATTATAATTTTTTAATTGGCTTAAAGGGAGAACAGTCCCTCATTCCAGCTGAACCCAGATTCTCCCCACAAAGAGAAATACTTTTTGGAAAATGTTTAAGTTGTCTATTGTTAACAAAGGCTATATTTTTTAATGATATTTATCAAGGACTTAATCACCTTACCAATAACTTTTGAAATAGAGCAGCGGGTATCCCTTGCACTGTAATCCCCAGTTCTTGCTTCCAGGCAGAATTTATTGTTCAATAGTTCCATTTTCTATCTGAATTCTCTTTGAATCTGTGGCAGAAAGACAAACTGTATGCAAAATCTAAAAAATATCAACGGGTACATGTACGAGTATGATTATGGCATGTACAAAGTAGTAGACATGGTAGATGAGAAATAATTTTGGTTAGGAAAAACATTTTTCACCATGTTAAGGTCACCACCTTTTCATAAAGGGGTGGGGGTAGAGGTTAAAATATTTATTTTCTTAATCTATCAGTCCCCCCCCCCCCAATCAAATGATCGTCCCTATATGCTCTTAATCAGGCAGGTGGTTTTAATAAAGTACTAGTATGTGCTTAATCTCACATTTATGCACATGATCTATTTCTGACAGCTGTCTGAGGCAATTCGAACTACCTGTTTGTTCGGTAGCTCTAGCTTAATTACAATAAACTGACAGCTGATTCAAGAGACATTATCTGA